GTGTGTGTGTGTGTGTGTGTGTGTGTGTGTGTGTGTGTGTGTGTGTGTGTGTGTGTGTGTGTGTGTGCGTGCGTGCGCGTGTGTGTGTATGTGCGTGTGTGTGTGTTGTGTTGTGTGCGCGCGTTATATTGCGTCAGTGTGTGTGTGTGTGTGTGTGTGTGTGTGTTGTGTGCTGTGTGTGCGCGTGCGGTGTGTGTGCGCGCGTTATATTAGCGTCAGTGTACGCGTGCGCGTCCGTATGCGCATGTGAGGCTGCCCACGTCCTATAGCTGAAATGCTTCCGCCTGCAAATCCTCTAATCGCAATAATATACGCGTACGCAAGACACGTCATTACGCGCCTTGATTGTAGTGCGCGTGCGCATCTTGTGTGGTTCTATCATCCACCGACACGACCTAGCACCGAATCTGCGTAGCTGCCCTACTTATTACCAGTAGCTTGTGCTGGAGAATGACAGTTGTCCAATATACGCAGCAAGATCAGGGTACGAGAGGAATGAATGCGATGCGCGCTCTACTATTGACTAGCGATAATCCTTACTGGAAAATACCGAAGCAATTGCTCCGGTTTCTTCTTACTCTGTTGCTGCTAATAGTGGCGTGTTGACAACAAATATAGAAACTCTTCTTGTTGTTTTCTTTTGCAGGAAACTGTGGAATCGTCTTCTCTGTTAGTAAACAGAGTCTTCCGAATTCAAGGTGAAGTAATTTTGAAAGAGCGAGAACGAAAGAGAAAGAGACTGCAGCTAATTTGCGGGCAATCAACGTGTACCGTTCCGCCATTCCATGCAGTTTTTCTTGTCTTAACAAGCGAAGTTACCCCACAGGCAAGCAATTGAACGAACTTAGCAATAACGTTGCGCTCATATTGACGAAACTCGCCACTGTATCTCTCCTTCGCAAAATGGCTGCCTCAGCATTGGCCGAAATCGCTGCCAAGTGGCGAAATGGCGCGAGACATTTCACACAACCTAGCAACGACGACAAATCGTACGCGAACATCAAGGTAGGCGAGCCCGAGAAAGACGCCGACGACTTCGGTTTGCCAGCGATCGACGACATCATGTTTTATCTGAACCAGTCGTCGGATAAGCTGGACACGACGCGCTTCCAGGATCTCACTCTACCGCCGCGCCGCGTCTCCGACATCGTCCTCATAGTCGTCGCCTACTCGCTGATCGTCACCGTGTCGCTATTTGGCAACGTGCTTGTCTGCCGCGTCGTCTGGATGAACCGACGCTTCCACAACGTCACCTACTTGTTTCTCGCGAACCTCGCCGCCAGCGACCTGCTCATCACTGTCACCAACATCCCGATCAACATTGCGCGCAACGTGCTCGAGGAGTGGCCGTTCGGCGCCTTCACGTGCCACATGGTAAACTTCTCGCTCGTCGCCTCCGTGTACGTATCGACGCTGACGATGACGACCATCTGCTTCGACCGCTACCAGGTGATCATGCATCCGATGAAGCAACGCATCACGAAGCGCCACACAGCGGCGCTGCTCGTGCTGCTGTGGCTCGTCGCCGCTCTGCTGTCGTCGCCGTACGCGATCTACAATCGCGAGATCCAGGTGTTCATCTATCGGCCGATCACGCGCTGTCAGATGCTGCTGCCGCAGCAGCACTACCGTAAGTACCTGACGGCAGCGACATGCGTGACGCAGTTCTTCGTGCCCGTGCTGATCACGGGCGCCGCGTACGCGCGAATCGCACACCATTTGTGGCGCCACGTAGCGCCGGGACACGCCACCGACGAGCAGCAGGACAACCAGAACAAGGTCCGCCGCAAGACGATCCAGATGCTCATACTCGTCGTCGTCGTCTTCTCGCTGTGCTGGCTGCCGCTGAACACCTACCACCTGGTGGCGAACTTCCATCCCGACCGCTCGTCGACGTTCAGCTACAACGGTACGGTCTACTTCGTGCTGCACTGGTTCGCGATGAGCTCCGTCTGCTACAACCCGTTCATCTACTGCTGGCTGAACAAGGTTTTCCGCGACGAAGTGAAAAACATCTTCCACCGCTGCTACCGAATGAGCGGAAAGGTGCACCCAGGCGTCGACCACGATGGAATCCTCGTGCGCGCCGACTCCAAGTATCGCTATCACAGTCAGCAAACGCATACCCGCGTCCAGCATACCTCGCTGACGACGACGGCGCGCGGCAGGGGCAGTCTCGAGGAGGGCGCCACCACCGAGAGTCCGCCGACGCAGCCCGTGCGTCGCGGCGTGTGCGTCACGTCGTCGGTGAACAGCGTCGAAGCGACGTACTCGGCCGATACTAACAGCGTCGTGTTGAAGGTGCACCTGCCGAAGCGAGGCAGCAGAAGCTTGCAGCAGCAGCAGCAGGCGTGCAGCGACAGCAGCGATGGTGAGATGAGCAACACGGCCGCACCGCTGGTCGCTAGCAGCAGCAGCGCGTCATTACCAGACGTAATCAAACAGATGGTCGTGTCTGATGGCGCCGACGCGAACACCGAGATGCCAGCCCGCGCAGGCGACCACATATAAGCCGCGTTCACACGAGCAAGAAATCCGGTATTTAGCGTTCACACGAGGCAAAATGCGCGGTCCAAGAAATACGGTATCTAAACAAATCCGGTATTTGATGTAAATACGCGGCTTTCCAGACCCCGAATAATTTGCCGTGCTTGAGAAATACCGGATCTTTTGGACCGCGCATTTCCTCGTGTGAACGCTAAATACCAGATTTATAAAGCCGCGTATTTTATAGACTGGTCCGCTCTCGACAGTTCCAGTGTAACGCGAGTGGAACTGTCGAGCGCGGACCAGTCTACGTATTTTATCGGCAGTTGGTGCGCATTGCATTGTTCGCTTGATTGTTTTAAAGCAGCTCGCAGCTCGCAGCTCGCAAATACCGTATTTCTGGAGCCGCGAATCAGCGTGTGAACGCTCGGCCGCGTATTTGTCTCAGATTCGGTATTTCGCAAATACCGTATTTCTGGAGCCACAAATCAGCGTGTGAACGCTCGGCCGCGTATTTGTCTCAGATTCGGTATTTCGCAAATACCGTATTTCTGGAGCCGCGAATCAGCGTGTGAACGCTCGGCCGCGTATTTGTCTCAGATTCGGTATTTCGCAAATCCGGTATTTCAGAAATACGAGGTCTCGTGTGAACGAGGCTATAGTGTCATGTTTACATCCGAATTAGCTGACACCGGCGCAGGTGGGCGGCAGTGGCGACGGCGGAGATTCGTTCATACATCGCGACGTTTCACTTACGTGTACTGGTACTCTGAATGCACCCAGGTTATTAATTACATGAATTCAATTTATTCGAAAATGTTCATTTTAATTAATCTATGGTTAGAATTGAAAACAGGAAACGCATTTAACGAGTTTCTTCGTTGACGGTTAGGTTGGGGTAGACCACCTTAATATCACGTACCAATTTGAATCTAATCAAAATTTGATAATTTGAATCAGAATCCAATCCGAATCAGAATCAGAATCAGAATCCAAATTTGAATCTAATCAGGTAATATTGTTGGTACAAGTCGGATGACATGGTTTTAGCTATCACGGTAATTTATAAAGCTAGTCAGCATGGTGCACATGGGAGATAATTATCAAACTAGAGCACTCGGAGAGCACAGACCTCCGCCAAGGCAGCTCAATTCTGTCACTGTGAAAAATTTTATTAATTAATTAATTAATTAAATAATTAATTGGATCCGGATGACCAAAATGTAATCAATTGTAAGTTACCCCATTTCTGACCTATCCTAAAAATGTTATTAATTAATTAATTAACTAATTGGATCCGGATCACCACCAAAATCTAATCAGTTCTAAGTTAGCCCATTTCTGACCTATCCTGAAAATTTTATTAAGTAATTAATTAATGAATTAATTAATAATAATTGGATCCGGATCACCACCAAAATCTAATCAGTTCTAAGTTAGCCCATTTCTGACCTATCCTGAAAATTTTATGACAATCCGTCTATAACCTTTTCAGTTAGGCTGTACACAAAAAAACCCACAAACCAACAAACGCACGCCGATGAAAACATAACCTCCTGCCAACCCCTTGGCGGAGGTAATAAGCTCGTTCTAAACGCCTGTTCGCCGGCTTCTGTGTACTGGCCAATTTGATAAACTCTAATGACGAGTGAATGTATGTATTCATTATTGATCCTTCGCGTGAACTAAGCACTTGAAACGCACTAATGTAATCATATAAAGCATGCGATATCCTATTACGTTAATGCACGACGAGATCTAAGTAGTTAAGTAAATATTTTAGCCTTAATAACTGCATTCGGTAAGATCAAAGTCAACTGTCTCTTTTAATAGAGAATATATTCGTTTGTGCTTTACATGTGTATTGTAATTGTAATATATGTATATACGTCGCCTGTTTCGCCGCTGTGAGCATAGCCGGTGGTAGCGATTTTTCAGCAACTAGTACTCGTACAGCTATTGCTCGTTTCATGTTAAAACATAGTTTAGACTCATAATTTGGTATGTATTCACGTGTATAGAATTAATACGGCGGTGTTATTCCGCTTATGCTTGAGACAACTGTGGGCTGATATGGGATAAGAAGTACCCACAAGCTATACATATGTCTGCATTGCGCTGTCATTACTTTAGAATTACTTAGAATAAAAACTAATAGCATAGAATACTAACCATTATTACTAGGGAATAGCGGGTTGCTCGGCGCTAAATCACAATTGAAGGTCGGCTCCTTTGCGTCAATTTTTTTTCAATTCTACCCTAGTATAGCTCCAACGGGCTTCGAGACAAATCGCAGGAAATGATCTGTCGCTCGTAGACAATGATAGGAAATTGCTTTAATTCTGCTCGATAAGAGCTTTTCAGACGACCTGCTCTATCCTAGCATTTATCTTTACTCGGAATAGTGTCGGAATGCTTTAGATTTTATTCCAACAGTAATCGGATTAGGGCAATTTATCTCCGTCGGTTATTCGCACGCCTTCTCTGTGGAAGTTTGGAATCTCAATAAGATCGCATGTTGCCGTTCTAGTCGGACGATATGAATGCATGCCAGTGTATAAATGAAATAAACTTTCCTGTATATAATCCTGTCAAAGTACTCAACGAAAATCCGCCGCAGACGTGAGTAAAATGACGCGTGCGTCAAATTACTCAACGAAACTTCGCCGCACACGTGAGTAAAATGACTCATGCGTCATTTTACTTGAGTAAAATAACTCACGTGTGCGCCGGGCTTAAAATCGAGAAAAAATTTCTTATTGTACGATACGCATAGTCAGGTGTGTGCTGGTGGATGAAGGTGCGCGTTTATGTACCGTTTTACTGCATACAAGAGTCTAATGAACACACTTCTAACTACGCCGCTTCTCAATAAAATGTGGTTGAGAAATTATTTATTTTTATAGATTGTATTTCATTGTAGCCGCCGGCTCCTAGAGACCCGCCTGTAGTATATAGTCAGTAACCGCACTGAATAGGCATATATAAATATGAATATAAATACGAATATGAATATAAATATGACTATATGAATATGACTATATGAATATAACTATATGAATATGACTGAAGGGGCGATGGCATTAACGCCAATCATAGTGATGCTCAAACCTGGCTAGACTGTCTATAAACTGATTTAAAGCTAAATGTCAAGAAGGATTAGCGACGTCGATCAATGCTGTTACAAATTACGCATTCTGACGGAAGGTTCCCCTGGAAATACACGCGACACTAGGCACAGACGAGAAACGTTAAGCTGTAACTGTTTTTCTTGCTTGGTTTTACCGAGCGCTTATTGACACGTACGTTCTTATTGCAGGTACACAATGTTATGATTTAGGTTAGCAAGGTTATTAAAGCGTAGACAGCCAGTTTCTGCTTTCTTTCGTTACATATATATATATATATATATACAAAGACCAACCAAAATACACACGCAAAAATATATATGTGGGCGGGGAATCGGTGTGGTTGACGATGGCTTTTTTGCTTGTTGAATCCAGTCTATGAACTCGGCGAATCTTCAATACACGCTAGCAGCGGCCAGTAGGATCATGGCAATACGGCAGAAGGGAAACATAGAGGGATTACGGCGACTGTTATAAAGAGTGAGTTAAAAAAAAAAACCGGCGCAATCGCACCATTACACTCACAACACGCATAGTCAGGAAGTGGCGTGGTGGTGATGAGGCACTGCAAAATTATTATCGATTTACGCGATTACTCCATTGCTCGATCACAATAAAATTAATATAGACCACATTAATTTAGTAACGATGTGATGCAACAATGTCTACGCTCGGGCTTGTTTGTCCATTATAATATATAAAGCGTGTTTACTGATTAGTAGCACTAGCCGATGAACGCTCTGAGTACTAAGTGAAATTGTCTGCGCGTGAATCGCTCCATGCGGCGGACGTCCGATGGACCTATAGTTCCTGTTATACTGGAAAATTAATCCATTTCCGCCAATTTTATGGTTATATCGATAATACCAGGAGCAGAGCCATATATATACGCACGATAAACGATTCCCCTGCATTATCTATCATATTCCCGTAATCATATTTTAATGATCCATTCTAACACTATAGTTCAACGGGAGAGCGAGTTAGAGATGGAGCATGACAGCTAGATAAATGGAGCGAGTGAGAAAGATAGAGAGAGAGGGAGAGAGAGCGCGCGCGCGCGAGAGAGAGAGAGAGAGAGAGAGAGAGAGAGAGAGAGAGAGAGAGAGAGAATGACTGCGAGAGCGCTCGCGGGAGAGAGAAGGAGAGAGAGACGCAATGGCAAGATTCCTCAGAGACAATCTGTTATGAATCGAGTAGAAATTAGCACGACAAGCTTTCTTATAGGATGAAAGGTGGCAAACAGAGGACTGTAAATTACCACTGACAGCAGACCGGCTGAACTCAGGCGAAACGCTTTCACTGAAGTACCGCCATCTGCAAATGAGTCGAGGGCACTCGTCTCCCAGTTGGGAAAGAAAGAGGAATGCGCGTACAGACATTTGCCTGCTCATGAAGCTTTGCGACTGCATGGGAGGTGGAATAGAGTTACACTACTCGGGGCGTAATCGACACACCGTGGCGTTTGGTAATGGCGTGTAAGGGGGGGCTACATACGAGCAACGAAAGCATGTTGGAGGTTCCGACATTGTGGGTGCTGACCCGTAAGATTCATTTTATGGTTAAGGCAAGATCGATTACATTAGGAAGCTACGTCATTTTGATTACATCCGCGATAAATATGGGTCAGTTGACATCGCCGTATAAAGGCGTCGCTGTAAATTGATCGGAACTCGCCGAGAATTAATGCCCTGGAAATCGGGTGGCGACAATGCTGCATGTCTGCTTAATGCAGTTTGGGACGGATGACAAGAGCGTTTCGCGTTTTTCGCTTTAGCGGATATCGGTGGCTCGTCGTAGATTCGACCAGCAGCTAATGTTTCGATTAAAACACGTCTATTTGCGTCATCGTCCGGCTGTCAGTGCCACTATCGATTGTCGCGATGATGTCTCGAAAAACACAACACCACATCCATTAATCTTGAGCGTAAAATTATTGTGTGCACGATACAACTTTTTTTTAACCTCCTGGAGGATATATATATATATATATATATATATATATATATATATATATATATTGCTTAGAAAGGGTCTGTGTGAGTGGTACCCTCTTCTACTAGTGGCCGACCGACGACTGATATCTTGAATGGTGCAGATGATTTTGATGGGACAAACTAGCAAGACACTTAGAATATCATATAGTTCATGAGGCAGTAGGGTTGGTCGGTACCATCCGGGGGGAATAATTCTCATTCTGATTTTTGGCAAGGTATACAACCCTAGAGTTAGAAAATATGTTATAGCATTGCATCGGTGGTAGCTTTCTTTGTGTTATCACCCTGTTTATATATGCCAGGGATACTGTCAGGGTTACGGACAAATCTCAAACGGTACCTCTGTAAAGGGCATTGCAACATAACTGCTCATCAAATTCAATCAAACACATATCTATTTAATCAAAGAGATGTGTCTCTACGCTCACGACGAAAATAATCGTAAAAAAGTCATCGCTAATTACGTGACGGCAAAAATTGTTAATTTATACCAAAAATGATTTTTTTTCTTTCTCAAAAACAGCAAAGAGTTGGGACCTAAACTTTTAACCATAAGTTGTTCATAGTATTAAATAAAAAACGTTTCCAGGAATTGAAAAAAAAAGTTTTATTTTAGGAAATATGTTGAAAAGATGCACGAAAATCTGTAATTTTTTTGTAAGATACAACAGTATTGTAAATCATGAACATAACTTCTAAAATGAAAGATTTTTTTTAAATCCCAGTGACAGTTTTTTAGTTCATACTATGAACAATATGGCTACAAGTTTAGGTCCCAACTCTTTGCTGTTTTTGAAAAATAAGAAAAAAAATTTTTTTGTGTAAATTCACAATTTTTGTAATAAAACAGTAGTAAGAAGGTTAATCATGTGCAATCTGATGAATGAGTCAAAGGTGAAAATGTAATACAATCTTTTCTTGTAGGACTCAAAATTACAGAATAGAAAAACAAATGTGGTGTTCCACACTAACAAGGCCATTACCTAAGTCCAATGTGTTGCTGATAAATGTATTGTCTTAAGAACCAAAGACGGATCCTTTATATAGTTGCTAAGACATTTCTGATCATATACACTGATTGTAAGTGATATAAAATGTTCAAGATGAACTTAAAAATCATATAATAATTATCCAGTTCTTCAATATCCTCATCTGCACCTTCTCCATCGTCTAACTCAAAGATGGATGCCTGGTTCTCACAGTCTGGCAGTCTGCACATATCAGTGTATTTAAGTCCGTTTGTGACAGACACACACATTTTGGTAGTGAACACTTCCTTGTAAAATTGCAGGTCAATAGATCAAGGACCGCCTCGGGTGCTGGCTGACCATCCATCCAGTGCACCACCAACTGTTCAACTCCTTCTTCCTTCTCAATCTTCCATCTTCGGCCAACAGGACTTGGTACTTTCGTGTTCTGTTCAAGACATCGTCTCCATATTGCAGCCTGGTAGTTGGCTTTTTGTGCGTGTTTCACTATGAAGTCCCTGCATGGTAGAAGCTGGTGGCTCTCTATCTCACCTTTCTTAGCACAGAATAAGTCGTACCTGAGATTATTGCTCTTAATGGATGATGTCTTTGGTGCATAGAGGAGGCAGCTAAATGCCTCTAGTTTGTCCATCAATTCTCGGCAGATGTCCCATATATGACCCAACTCTAGGAATATGTCCTGGGCTTCCCTGTTGCTGGTCAACAGTTTCAATGCGCTTGCCTGCCCTTTGCCTGCAAACGCACTGACAGTGTCACATCCAGTATACGCATGCATCCCAATGAAAGCCCTACAGACATCTATGCCAACAGTGGCAGCAACCTTTATGATGTCAACGAGCCTCATCCGGGTTCTAGTTCCACATTTTTGGAACAGTGGGTCTACAATCTTGTCATGAAATGCCAAGGACATTATGAAGACGTCTGTGTCCTTTAAGCAGATCACTACAGCCTGATAGCCCTCTCTTGCTGCATGGGCAGCATGGAGAAGTAGGCGCCTATCTAATTGTTCATGTTGGCACTGAAGAGCTGACTGATGTGTCAAACACAACATCTATTCTGTCACTCTCAGCTCCTTCTCTCAGTGCCATAGAAAGAACTGTAGTGGCGAAATCTCCAAAAGTAACCTAATCGCGTTTTACTCTTTGGACTAAGTTCATCCCATCGACCACTGAAGCCGAGTTACTTGGAAGTAGCTCTGCCACGGTAACATTAATCTGCAAAGTTGTGGCTAAAGTAGTCTCGTTTGTCTTTCGCAGCAATCCATCTGGTGTGGACAGGGCCCATGGCAATGGCCCAAGAGGATGAGAGAGAATATCCTCCATCTGGAGATTGCGTCTTTGTGCTATCACTATGATGCGACCAAACAAAGATCTGTCTGCTTTCAAGATCGTCACCCTCCCACTTGATTTTACTTCCTTCTTCTTACACATATTGCTGAGTGTCTTCAGCCTGTTAGTTTTTATTTGTTCATGGAATTTCTTTGCTGGTGGGTCTCTCTCTAGTCTCTCAACCTTAAAGGTTGCATAGGTTTGCTCACCAATCTCATAAGCCTTCAACAGGTCACAGGCGATGTCTCTGGGTTCTGCCTTAGCAGTAGAGATGCTAAGGAGGTCCTGCTTCTGCGCAAATGGGTTGACTCAATCTTTTATGAGGTCAACAACTGCAGACACGGCCTCCTAATCTTTTTGGATTCTTGGGGGCTGTAGTTCTGTATGGCAAACTTTTGATTTGTTACCTTGCACCATGTCTCTTAACTGTCCCAGAATGCATTGCGGTAATCGGCTGTTATCTAGTACCGTGTGATAGCTCCAGCTTTCAGGCTGAACCAAGCTGTGCTTCCAGGAGTCTGGGTGTCTTTGTTGACTGTGACCTCAGTGGTCTGGTCTACAGGAATCCGCCCAAAGGGGTTGTTGCTAGACATCTGTACCGAGAATTGCCCTGTTTTAAGGCCTCATACACATGAGGATTCTTCTTGGGAAGATTTATCATCTGAGCAAAGTATGGGGACATGTACCTGGCATAGTTCAACTTATATTTATACATTATATTCATACATAAAATCAAGAACTTTCAAATAGTTTAATATGTTTCTTATCAACATATTTGTAGCCTGTATGCAAGAAAAATCAATAGTAACAAATTTTCCTTGATTTGCGGCATTTTTCGTTTTGTGGGGTGGGTAACAATAATAGCAATAACAGTTATAATGTACATCGAACTTAAAATGTATTTTGTTACTTTGTTTAGCAATAAATTCTCTCCAAATTCATGTATTTAAACACGGTATCCATTAATTAGGGTATGCGCAAAAAGGAACTTCCGTACCACCTTTTATGAAAACAATTAAACTTATATGTTTTGCTATGTATCAGCACTGAACTATCAGTGCCTGTATGAATTGCAAACACTATGATGAGATCAGGGGATTAAATGATAGTTTTCAGTGATACGGGTGACGTGCTAAGCCGTGGCGCCGTTGTGGTATCAGCCAGTT